AGATGGAAGAGCCTATTGCCAGAAACCAGTGAGGAAGCCACTAGTATAGATCAGTGATTCCTAAACTATCTGGCTCATCAGGAAGCCAGCAATAAATAGACCCCAGGGCCACACCCCAGAACTACTGAGTCAAAATCTGTATGTGAGTATGATGGAGGTATGAGGGGAGCTGGAAACTGTATTTTTTTCTAAAACGGATTCTGATGATCATCTAGTCTAAAGAACTACTGCCCAAGAACCAAAACTACTCCTTCTGAGAGCAGTAAAACTGAGGAAACTCATCACAGACTTTACAACGATAGGGGAAGTTAAAAGTGATATTAAGCTTTAAGCTTGAGAGACTTGAAAAAATGGTGACTGCATTAAATAAAAATGGGGAATATAGAATTATGTTTTGGCAAAAAATATGATTCGGTCAATACTAAATTTGAGATGCCAGAGAGATAACTAGGTAGAAATGACCAGAAGCCAGTGGCAAAAGGAGAATTAACAGCTCAGGAGCAGGAGATGCAATATAAATGAAAGCAAACCACATTTTACATAGCCACTAGAAACAAGTGTGCTGTCCAAATTTAATATACTGAATAGGGATTTAATGTACATCATATTTTAGAATAAGAAAGCATAAGGCTGGGCACGGTGACTCATGTCTGTAATCCTAGCACTTTGGGAGACAAAGGCGGGGGACCTGCTTGAGCCCAGGAGTTTGAGACTAGCCTGGGCAACATTACAAGACCCCATCTCTACAAAAAATTAAAAAAGAAAATTAGCTGGATGTGGTGGCGCATGCCTGTAGTCCCAGCTACTTGGGAGGCTGAGGTGGAAGGATTGCCCTAAGCCAAGGTGGTCGAGACTGTAGTGAGCCATGATTGTGCCACTGTACTTCAGCCTGGGCAACACAGTAAGATCCCAATTCAAATTTAAAAAAAAAAAAGGAAAAACTCATAAACATTCTTAACCATTCTCTAAATTGCAATGTAAGAATTTTGGCACCCTAAGTCATAGACTCATTCTTATTTATCTATGTCTCCTAAAACACTATAATCTGAGTAAAACATGCATGTGCAAATATATGAAAATCAACGTTTATTTATGACTGAGCTAATGGTATAATAACTATCAAACTTGGAGAGAATTTTATACCAGAAATATATTCAGTTTCCATGTAATCTTTACCTTCTACAAAATCCTAGTCCAGCTAGTAAAAACTATTTTATTAGTATTTTTTTTTTGAGTTGGGGTCTCACCCTGTCACCCAGATTGGAGTGCAGTGGCACACTCCCGGCCCCCGCAGCCTCCACCTGCTGGGCTCCGGCGATCCTTCTGCCTCAGCCTTCCAAGTAGCTGGAACTACAGGCGCACACTACCACACCCGGCTAATTTTTTTATTTATTGTAGAGATGAGGTCTCACCAAGTTGCCCAGGCGGGTCTCAAACTCGCAGGTTCAGGCATATCTGTATTTTTAAATAACTTCTATCACAAAAAAGTAATGACATAAAGTTCATATTTCTTGTTGTTAAACATCAATACTTTAGTGATTTTATTTAGTATTTCTACAACAAATCAGGCTTCAGATTTTAAAAAATGAGCTTCAGGCAGAAAGGAGTAATAGGATGAACCACCTGATTCTCAGACTTTCTATAGCTTCATCTATTCTATTTTTTTTTCTTTTTAAGACAGAGTCTTGCTCTGTTGCCTAGGCTAGAATGCAGTGGCATGATCACAGCTCACCACAGCCTCAACCTTCTGAGCTCAGGCAATAATTCCACCTCAGTAAATGGAACTACAGGCTTGTGCCACCACACCCTGATTTTTTTTTTTTTTTGGTAGCAACAAGGTCTCACTATGTTGCCCAGGATGGCTTCGAACTCCTAGGCTCAAGAGATCCTCCTGCCTCAGCCTGTCAAAGTACTGGGATTACAGGCATGAGCCACAATGCCTGGTCTCTCTATTTAATTTCTTATACACAGCAAGTATAGTTCAGGAAATCCTCTTATTACAAACCAGCATGTGCCAAAACACTCATTCACTCCATCAATTTAGAATTAAAAATTTTTTTTTTCCATAAATGTAAGTATTCAACGTAAGGATGCAATGACTAGGTTCCTATAATAAATATGAAGCATAGTGCTATAGGGATAAGTCTACAAAACCTAATGACTGCACTTTAGTGCAGTCTTATTGCCATCAGTAATATCACTCAGTAACCAATGTATTTCAGTGAGTAGGTCATTCAATTAACAACATCATCTCATGAAAAATCAGAAGTGTTTCGGTGAAGCTGAAAGAAAAGAGAGCTTTCTTCTGCAGTCCTGACACTAAGAAGGTGTTCAGCTTCAGGCTTCAAAAGGATGAAGGAGGAAAAGCAAGAGGTGAGGTACCCATACTTCCTGCTAATAAAACATTCCTCAATCCTTCTGAGGACCCCCAGAGAAAGGACTGCTTACTTTCTCTTTCCAATATCACTACTTCTGGCTTCAAGCAGTTTCTTTCCCAACAAATCACAGGAGTGTTTCAGAGCTTACTCCTGAAGTAAGCATAAAATGATGTTTTCCAGGTTTCCTATGAACTTCTTTATTTTAACTAGAAATAATCACAGCACACAAAAAAAGAGGCAATAAGAAGTAATAAAAACATACACAATCTAGAGTCAGATAATCCTGGATTGAGATCTTTGCTCCATCACTTACTAGTACTGTCTTGGTCAAGTTACATCACTTCTCTGAGACTTTATTTCCTCACTCAGAAAATAGGGTTAACACCTACTTCCAAGGATTATGTGGGTCAATGAAAAGACAAAAATGAGAGAAAATATTAAGCGTCCAGTCTCACAAAGCAGATACTCAACAAATAAATTCTCAACACTTCCACCCAATCTTTTTTTCACTGAGATCAGTACTTCAACTTTATTCTGACTTCACATCATTTACACTTATTCTCATCAGTAATATTACTCAGTAACTAAGGTATTTCAATGAACGGGCCATTCAATTAACAGCTACAGATACAGGCAAAAGGCACAAAATGTGGCAAAATTCACCCACATTTCAAAGAAACACCCCACTTTTGAAATGCTCTCTTCTCTGACACAACACAAGCCTGGCTTTCCTCCTACCACTATAGTCACTTCTCTTCAGTTTATCCATAAATGTTAGTGTTCCTAAAGAGATGAGAGGATTGCCTGAGCTCAGGGGTTTGAGACCAGCCTGGGAAACTTGGTGAGACCTCGTCTCTACAATAAATCAAAAAATTAGGCCGGGCTTGGTGGCTCAGCCTGTAATCCCGCATTTTGGGAGGCTGAAGTGAGTGAATTGCCTGAGCCCGCGGGTTCGAGACCCGCCTGGGCAACTTGGCGAGACCTCATCTCTACAATAAATCAAAAAAATCAGCCAGGCATGGTGGCACATGCCCGTAGTTCCAGCTACTTGGAAGGCTGAGGCGGAAGGATCGCAGGAGCCCAGCAGGTGGAGGCTGCGGTGGCCAGGAGTGTGCCACTGCCCTCCAGCCTGGGTGACAGAGTGAGAGTCCCACTCAAAAAAAAAAAAAAAAAAATTAGCCGAGCGTGGTGGCATGCGCCTGTAGTTCCAGCTACTTGAAAAGCTGAGGCAAAAGGATCACCTGAGCCCAGCAGGTCAAGGCTGCGGTGACCATGAGCATGCCACTGCACTCCAGCCTAGGCAACAGAGCGAGACTCCAACTCAAAAAAAAAAAGAAAGTTGAAAATCCTTAGTGCTGCCTACATACCCAGTTTGTACCACTCTGCAGTCCCATCTCTCACTACTCTCCCCGGTTCCCCTGTTCACTCTATCCATCATTTGTACTCCTGAAACACTTCCTTACTTCCTCTTTATCTAGCTAACTTCTACTCACTTTTTCTCAGAATAAGCATCTCATCTTACAAAAGATTATCTGTGATCCCACAAATTAGGTTAGGTAGAACAATCTGTCCCAAACTTATCTAAACATCCATCACCCTTTATTATAATGACTTTTGTTACTATCTGTTTGGATAGGTTTTAGGGTATGAAGGCAGAGATTAAGTTTCTCTTGTTCACTGTACGCCATGGCCAAGCACAATACCAGCTTAGACTAACAGCTCTGCATCCTGGAGCCTAGAATCTGAACAAATGAAGCTGCAACCGCTTTCTTTCCATCTAGAGACTGAAGAAACTACTGCTTCACAACAGACTTCCTTGGGCAAATTTCTCAAGGAAATCTGAAGCAGCAAACAGGTGGGGTGTCTTGCCATTTTGCGCCCTGTGAGCAAATAAATGCTCCTCAGGGTTTCTCACACCACCAATCACATCGGGAAAAATGCAGCCCCATTTCCCCCATTAGTAGCTTTGGGGGCTCAGCAAATAGACCTCAGCGTGATGCACACAAGAACCGGAAAGGAGTGACTGGCGCCCTGGGTCCTCACGCTGAGGGCAGGAAGAGATTTGGACCAAGGCAAAGGACAGAGATTTTTTTCCCCCACGTACCAAGCGAGGTGGCGCTGCCTCTGTGCGATCCCGCCCGCCTTGGAACGCAGCCTGGCGAGTACGGTGAAACCCTGAATTGCACGTGAGCGTCCTTGGGGTCGAGGACGCGCTTCTGCCTGCCGGGAAAGCTCCGGGCGTCGGAAGCAGCCGGCGGAGAAGTTGCAGCGGCGCCCCAGCGGGGTCGCTTGGTGCAGGGCTCACAGTCGGGGCCCACATTCATGCTGGGACCCGCAGCGAAGAGTCCCCGGGCCGGCCCGGGCGGAGAGCCTCATTCACTAACCCTGAGAGGGACGGACTGCGCCTCCGTCTTAGCGCCTCCCCGCACCATTCCCTCTCTGCCGCTGCCTGCTTCGGCAATTGCTGATTCGCCGGCCTCCCGAGTCAGGCCTTATGCAGTCGCCTGCCTTCCCTCTTCCACTGGCACCCCACCTGCCTCAGGATGCGCCGCTTTGATTCGGGTTTCGTTCACTTTCCCACCACCGGAAAGCTACCGTCAGGCGCTTCCGACTTCCGGGGCGTACATTGCCGCAAAGCGGAAGTGTGGTGCTTAGCGGGAACCGGCGCCCGGAAGGTCAGCGTGTGAAGGAGGCGGTGGTAACGCGGGGCTACCCGCTGTTACCGAGGAGCAGCCGCCCAGCAGAAGACCCCCGACCTGAGGCAGCGGCGGAAAGCAGTCAGGCAGTTTGCTGCGACACCATGGAAGGCGGCGGGGGAAGTGGCAACAAAACCACAGGGGGGTTGGCCGGCTTTTTCGGAGCCGGCGGAGCAGGTTACTCCCACGCGGATTTGGCTGGCGTCCCGCGTGAGTATCGGGCCTAGCTTTCGGATATTTCTAACTGGCTTTTGCATCTACACTAAATTTGCCTAGTCCGTTGTTTATTGCTTCGTGTTTGTTTTGATTTTCCTTCCAGGCTGAACTCAGAGGTCTCATTACCAATGTTGGGGTTAGTGTGTACTTGTGGCCGCTCTTTACGGAACTAAGGAGTTTTTAAGGTCACAGATCACCGGGGAGCTCTTCTTGATTGACGTGGTCTCGAGAGATGGTGTTTGTTGTTTAACGTTTATATCCATATCTTGTCTATTTTTCGTCGCATACGTTACTGTGTGTTGGGCCGTGTGCTTGGCCCCTTTGGGATAAATGAGCCCAAGATAGCAAGCCTGCAGGTAACTTTTCAGCATAAAGTGACATGATCCAAACCCCAGAGTATCCCTCTGGGTAAAAAAACTCAATAAATTGCATGCAGATGAGAAATAAATGTAAATTAATACAGACTGGGAAACCGTCTGGAGGAACAGAGAAGTAAGATGAACCTTTTTTTTTAAATTGGAGTCTCACTCTGTCCCCCAGGCTGGAGTGCAGTGGCAAGCTCACTGCCACTGCAGCCTCGAATCTTCGCCTTAGCTTTCCAAGTAGCTGGAACTACAGATATGCACTACCATGCCTCGTTGATTTTTTTGATTTATTGTAGAGACGAGGTCTCACCATGTTGCCCACGCTGGTCTCTAACCCGTGGGCTCCCAAAGTGCTGGGGTTACAGGCTTGAGCCACCGCACCCAGCCGAGATGAACTTTGAAAGTAAAAGAACTTTAAAAAGACTTATAGACATGAAGAAAGAAGCCAGGTAAGAGTTAAAGGAAAGGAAATATGCAAGATCAAGGATGCACAGGCATGAATACCTTGCTTGTGCCTCTCCTCAATCCTATGGATATACATTTCAGATCTTTGGGACTTTGTAATCTTGAGTATTCATCTGGTAAATAGAACTTGGACTTAAAAGTATTAGGCAGTTGGTGGTAGATAAAGGTTTACAAAAGTATTTTCTTTCTTGAGAATTTTTATAGTATTTCTCTAGGTCTTTTATACTAAACCAAAAAAAAAGAACTATCATGTCCCTACTGTCACCTTTGTCAAGACTGAATGTAGAACACGGTTTTATATTAGTCTTAGGATCTCAGTTTCAGAGCACAAAGGGCACTCACTACCTTAATGTGGCAAAGTATTGTTAGACTAATTTGATTGAGATTTGAAGGTAAATTGAGGTTCTAGAGGATGAATACCATTCATTTGAGTCCCTATAATGTGCCAACTGTTTTTCTGGATGCAGGACTGAAATGGTTTAAAAAAAAAGACGATTCTGGCTTTTATGGAGCTTATATAATACTGCGGTAAGCCAGCTAACATAAATAAAAACATCACAGATAATGATAAATGCTGTAAAGGAAATGAGATAGAGTCATGAGGCGGTGATGAGAACAGGAATCCCCTTTAGAATGGGTTGGGGGAAAGCAACTAAAAGGAGTTGACATTTGAACTGTGACCTGAATACAATACAAATGCCTGGGAGACAAGTGTCCATCCAGGATAATGGCTAGAACAAATGTCCCAACAAAAAACAAACTTGGTATGTTGAAGGAACAGCTGGTAGGCCAGTGTGTCTGCAGAGTTACAAAGCAGTTGGAGTGATTGAAGAGAATGAGATCAAACTAGTAGGGGATGGCAGCTAATGTTGGTTTTAGTAAGCCATGGTAAGGAGTTTGGATTTGATTACAAGTATAGAGGAAAGTCATTAGGACTGATTTCCTTTTCTTAAGAAAATCACAGCCAGGCTTGGTGGCTCAGCCTGTAATCCCAGCATTTTGGGAGGCTGAGGTGAGTGGATTGCCTGCCCGCGGGTTCAAGACCCACCTGGGCAACTTGGCGAGACCTCATCTCTACAATAAATCAAAAATTAGCTGGGCGTGGTAGTGCGCGCCGGTAGTTCCAGCTACTTGGAAGGCTGAGGCGGAAGGATCACCAGAGCCCAGCAGCTCGAGGCTGCGGTGGCCAGGAGCAGCCACCGCACTCCAGTCTGGGTGACAGAATGAGACTCCAACTCAAAAAAAGAAAATCACTTAAGGGAAAGAGATGCAAAGAGTTAGATAGGAGGTTGTTGCATGACATTTAGTAGTTGAACTAGGATGGTAGCAACAGCTATGACAATGAGTAACACAATTCAAAATACATGTTGAAAAGAAAAGTAATAGGACTTTCAATTGATGAAACGATCGGAGTCACGGGTAATGCACAGATTTCCAAAGATTGACAAAAGTAGTGGAATCCAAGTCTGGCCCTCTGAGAGTTTACATATTTCTTTGCACAGACCCTCCCCCATCCGTTTGGTAATGAACCAAGAATTCCCTACCCTGCCACGGTAAATCAACTGTCAGAAACAACAAGATCTGAAGGACCTGCCTTGAAACATTTTTATAACATGTGCACAGTCAGAAAACTAAACCCAACCACTCTTTTTCCCATGAAATTGGTTCATCTCAGTCTTATTTTGCAATGTGCATAATTGTCAAATATTCTTGTAGTAAAGTGAAATAAATTAGCTTTATAATTGGCATGGGCTGTGCTTCCTGCTAGTTTGCTCATTTGATCTTATTGGTATTAGACTCTGAGCCACCCCTACAAGACCTGGTTTGGGATTGAGGGTCACAAGGCGAGTTATCCCCCAGACTAACAGAGAATAAAATGGAGAAATTTTTCGTATTCAGTGAGCCTGTAAAAATTGCAAAGCACATGTAACAATCAGCTGAATTAACTAACTGAAATAAAGAATTTTGTTGTGATACGACATTTTTTTTTTCTTTCTAGTAACTGGTATGAACCCTCTGTCTCCTTATTTAAATGTGGATCCACGATATCTTGTGCAGGTAAGATTAAGATTTTCTAGTTCGGTACTTTATCTTACTATTAAAAAAAAACAAATAATTATGCCATCTTGAACTATGATATACATTTCTTGAGGTACTAAGTCTCTCTTCTGTATTTACCCTTTTTTTCCTCACAAGCCCTAGGGATTTGGATTACATCTCTGCGTGAAACTAGTTAACTCCCTGCAAAGGTTTATTTTTTAAAACTAACAAATTAATTTTTTTAAAGCACCCCAGTGTGAGTACTGGGGTACATAGTTGAAAAGTTTGTTTTTAACCCCCATTTTGTGGTATCAGGGTATTAGACTAAGTGTCAGAAACTTCAAAGAGTAGTATTTGAATCCAAGATCTCTTGGATATCTTAGGAAAGCAAGGTTGATTTAACATCTGAAAATTAATGTACTGAACCATATAAACTTAAAGCAATTAAAGAAGGAATTCAGGACATAAACCCACATGCTTTTCTCAGAGTCATAAAAAGCATTTGACAAACTCCAGCGCTCCCATTATGATTTAAAAAAATAAACTAGACATTAAAAAGACTTCTTCAACCTGATAAATGACATCTACAGAATATCCAAAGATAACGTATTTAATGGTGAAAGGCTGAATACTTTCCCCCTAAGATCAGGAACAAAACAAGTGTGTTCACTTCTGTTCAACATTGTCTAGCCAGGGCAGTTAGGCAAGAGAATAAAATGGCATCCAAATTGAAAAGGAAGAAGTTAAACTACCAATTTACAAATGTTATTCTATTACCCATAGAATATCATAAGAAAACCACAAAAAACTATTGGAACTAATAAACGAGTTGAGCAAAGTTCCAGAATACAAGATCAATATACATAAATCAGTTATATTTCTATACAGTAGCAATGCACACTCCAAAATGAAGTTACAAAACAATTTCATTATCAGTAGCATCAAAAATAATAAAATAGGCTGGGCATGGTGGCTCTTGCCTGTAATGCAGCACTTTGGGAGGCAGAGGCAAGAGGATTGCCTGAACTCAGGAGTTTGAGACCAGCCTGAGCAACTTGAAATCTTATCTCTACAATACATCAAAAAATTAGCCAGGCATGGTGGCACATGCCTGTGGTTCCAGCTGCTTGGAAGGCTGAGGCGGAAGGATTGCATGAGCCCAGCAGGTGGAGGCTGTGGTGGCCGTGAGCATGCCATTGCACTCCAGCCTGGGTGACAGAGTGAGACTCCGACTCAAAAATATAAATAAATAATAATAATAAAATAGTTACAAATATATTTAAAAGGTGTAGAACTTACATTCTAAAAACAAGAAAACATTATTGAAAGAAATTAAAGAAGGGTTAAATAAATGGTAAAACATTCCATAGTCTTCTAAAATTTAATATTAAAATAGCAGCAATCTTTAAACAACAGATTTAGTGTCGTACCTATTAAAAATCCTTTAGGACTGTTTTGCAGAAATTGACAAGCTTACCATAAAATATGTAGGGAAATTTAAGGGACACCAGATTGCCAATAGTCTTAAAAAAGAACAAATTGGAGGACTTCGCAATTTCAAAACTTACTACAAAGCTATAGTAATTAAGATATTGTGATATTAGCATAAGAATAAATCTGTAGATAATGAAATGAATTCAGGGTCCAGAAATAAATCCTCACGTTATTTACAGTCACTTAGTTTTCAACAAGGGTACCAAAAATTAAGTGGCGAAAAATAGTCTTCTCAACAAATGATGTGGGACTACTGGAATCCATATGCAAAAGAATTGGACCCTGACCTCACCCCGTGTACAAACATTAAATAAAAAGACAGCCCAATTATAGAATGGGCAAAGGATTTGAATAGATATTTCTTCATGGAAATATACATACATCTTATAATCACCTGATTACTCATGGGTTCATGCCTGTAATCCCAGCACTGGTGGAAGGCTGAGACAGGGTGATTGCATGAGCCCAGGAATTCAAGACCAGCCTAGACAACATAGTGAGACCTCATCTCTACAAAAATTTTAAAAGAATAGGCTGGGCTCGGTGGCTCAGCCTGTAATCCCGCCCTTTGGGAGGCTGAGGTGAGTGAATTGCCTGAGCCTGCGGGTTCGAGACCCGCCTGGGCAACTTGGCGAAACCTCATCTCTACAATAAATCAAAAAATCAGCTGGGTGTGGTAGCACGTGCCTGTAATTCCGGCTACTCAGAAAGCTGAGGCGGAAGGATTGCCAGAGCCCAGCAAGTTGAGGCTGCAGTGGCTGAGAGCAGCCACTGCACTCCAGTCTGGGTGACAGAGTGAGACTCTGACTCAAAAAAAAAAAAGAATGATTAGGTGTGGTGGTGCATTCCTGTAGTCCCAGCTACTTAAAAAGCTGAGGTGGACGGATCACCTGAACCCAGGGGGTCGAGGTTGCTGTGAGCTGTGATTGTGCCACTGCATTCCCACCTGCATGACAGTGAGACCCCAGTTAAAAAATAAAAATCACATGAAAGCCTTCCAGTGTCATAAGTTAGAGAAATTCAAATCACAGAACCACAACGAGATGCCCCTTACACTCACCAAGATGACTAATCAAAAAAGCAGACAATAACAGTAACAAGTATTGGTGAGAATATAGAGAAATTGGACCTTTATACATTGTTAGTGATAATGTAAAATGATACGGCTGCTCTAGAAACAGTCTAGAAGTACCTCAAAATGTTAAAAATAGTTATCTTATGAGCCAGTGATTCTTAAGTATACTGAATACCCAAAAGAATTGAAACTGTGTACATACAAGTTGTAAGTGCGTGTTCATAGTACCATTAATCATTAAAAGTGGAAACAATTTAAATGTTAATCAGTCGATTATTAGACAGACAAAATGTGGCATATCCATACAATAGAATGTTATTTGGCAGTAAAAATAATTAATTATTGGTACATGGTGCAACATGAATGAACCCTGAACACTTGCTAAATGAAAGAAGCCAGTCATAAAAGACCACATATTGTGATTCTACTTACATAAAATGTCCAGAATAGGCAATTATATGGATAGAGAAAATAGATTACTGGCTGTCTAGGGTCGGGAGTAAATGGGCAATGGTTACTAATGGGTACCAGGTTCTATTCTTGTTGCACAACTCTGAATATAATAAAAACCATTGAATTGTCTGCTTTAAATAGGTGAACTATATGATTGCATGAGTTATATATCAGTGGTGTGTGTATGAGTTTGTTTATTTTTAGAAGCAATGTCTTTTTTGTGGGGGTTGGAGTCTTTTGGCTGTCACCCAGGCTGGAGTGCAGTGACTCGTTCATGGCCACTGCAGTTTCCACCTGCTAGGCTCAGGCACTCCTGCCACTTCAGCCTTCCAAGTAGCTGGAACTACAGGCACGCGCCACCATGCCCTGCTAATTTTTTGATTTATTGTAGAGCTGAGGTCTTGCCAAGTTGCCCAGTCTGGTCTCGAACGCTTGGGCTCAGGCAATCCTCTCACCTCGGCCTCCCAAAGTGCTGGGTTTAGAGGCGTGAACCACTGCACCTGGCCTAGAAACAGGGTCTTTTGTGCCCAGGCTAGAGTGTAGTAGTATGACCATAGCTGTAGTACACAGCAGGCTGACCGTGGAAAACCTAAATTTAAAGATGATACCTTAATAAGAACTAGATTTTTTTGAAACATTTTTCTATACTTTTGAAGGTTGAGACATCTGAAATAGTGCCCATCAACTCACCATAGAGTGATGTTGGCAGCAACGTTTATCCGATACCCTACGTGTAATTTTTCTTGCTAGTGCTTTTGTATTGTCACTACTCTTACATCCTCACTGAAATGGTTTTAAATTCCACTGAGTAATCTTCCTCTTGTTAGTCCAGATGAACATCTGGTATAAAAACAAGGAGAGTTTAAATATTTTTCATATCCATGGTACCCTCAATTTAAGATTATACAAATTTTTGCATAATCTCAGCCTTCTTTTTTGGCAGATACATTAATGCCCATTCTTGGATTTATTTCTCTTCTATGTTACCAGACAGTGATACTTAAGATATTTTAGTGACACTAGTGTTCCAGAATGTCAGCAGTACAAGTCTAACAAGAACGTTTCACCATATGTTTCTTACATTCATTGTATTAACATACTAGTATTTTGTTGTCAACCTTGTGTGTGAATTAATGTACATTTGCTTGCAACCCTTGTGGCGGTCTTATAACTGTTTATAGTAGTTGAAGAGTGAATTGGTGCTGACTTGCTCGTGTGCTTGCTTGTTAATGGTCATCATGGCCATTTTTAAAAGAAATTTCCTACTCTTAATTAGTGATCCATTTCTGGATTGAAGGATACTTATTTACCTTACCAAATAGAGAGTTTCAGAAACCTCGAACAAGAAACACAGTTTAAAAATAAGTCATTGGTATTTGAGGGGGCAAGATACCTGCCTCGGCTTTTGCCGGTGCCATGAAACGGCTTCAGGCCCCTGAATATTTTGGCATCTTCAGCCTACCAAGACTGTGCCAAGAAGCCTCTCTTATTTCCGCATCACCCACTGGATATTTTAGTCATGTTCAGACACCAGTTGTTTCCACTGCTTCCAGACTCATCACATGCCAGAAACCTGACATGTGGTCGTACTGCAGTGATCTTTAATAGAGTGGCCTTCTTGCTTCCAAATGTCCTGAAGCTGCCAATCAGAACGGTAACATACTTCAGTTAATAAAAAGGCAAGAGAAGGTTTGTGAAGGCTGTCATCTGTGGTTTCTTCAACTTCATTCTGGCCTTTGGCTAAGGAGAAAGACTGGTTATAAGAAAAAATTATGGAAAAAGACTGCTGCAAGAAAAAAGACTCTTGAGGGAATTTGTGTTCTGCAATAAATACCAGAGTAAACTCTTAGATAAAATGATGACATCTTTCTGGAAGAGGTGAAACTGGTATGCTGATGATCCTTATCTCAAGTATCATGATTGAACCAACCTAAAAGTATAGGTCAGAAGTTTTATAGTTTCCCAGTTACTAAATATGTTTCTTTACCTACATGACTTTGTAAAAGTGAATAAGTATAAAACTTGATGTAAATTGTACCACTAAGATATAAACACACAGTGCCAACATTAAATTGATAAAAGTTTTTTTTTTAAAGTAAATGTCATTAGTTTAAAAGTAAGGAAGCACTCAAAATCTACAAAACTATGTACAGTGTATCATGATATGAAATCTGTTCACATGTTGCTTATTATTGCCCAACAGACCATTTTTGTTTGATGAGAATGGATGTACTTGCTTCTTGTGTAATTTTTGTTGAGGATGTATGTACAAGGCAGAAATTAAAAAAACAATGCAGAACTATAGTTTTCCTGATCAGGAACACGTTTACCAACATTCAGTGTTTGCTATAAGGATGTGGGAAATGGTCTTCACACTGTGTGAAGACCAAGGGTGTGACCTCTCCTTTAGAGACATATTTTAGCCATTTTTGCATGGAAATCTTGGCAGAAATGAATTTGTTTTTCTTAAAGATGTATTGATTTTTCAAAATCAATCATATCTTGCTCTTAGAGTACTATTTCTTACCCTAGGATTTTGGATGACCTTCCAGGGTTCATGCCAGATTTTGTATGCACTGACTAGAAAGGGTCTATAGGCTTTCTAAGATTATCAAAGGGATATGTGATCCCCAAACAGTTAAGAATTATTAAGGAAGTAATTTGCCTTTACATAACTGATCCAAACTGTCGTCCTTTAATAGTTTTTGCTCATTTTTTTTATTATTTGGTTTTTTACATAATAAGGCGATGCTCAATAAATTGTTGCTACTGAATGAAAGTTACTTCTTCCAGACTGATAGTCTTATCAGCTGTTACTTCTCATAGCTTTCAGAGTACCTTTCTCTAGAGCTGTCCTATCTAAACACTTTTGCACTGTTAGTTCAAATTTATCATTAAGGCACATTACATATAATCTATCAGATTTACATTATGAAGGAAACAAAGTTCTGAATGAGAATCCTTCCTAGAACTAAATATGTGTTTTGTATTTCATTTCACTTTCCTGCCTATTGTAGGAAGTTTTGGTTTTGTTTGAATAGCTGTCATTTAATTTGAGTTAGTTTAAGGTTTTTTACTGTGAAAAGCTACTTTGAAAAGTTAAACACTTCGCAAGAATTGCTGAGGGGCACTCAGCTTGGTTTTCTGTACGACTCCTTTAGGATACAGATGAGTTTATTTTACCAACTGGAGCCAATAAAACCAGGGGCAGATTTGAACTGGCCTTCTTTACCATTGGAGGATGTTGCATGACAGGTGGGTATTATTTTTTTTTCCTTAAGTGTCCTCAGTCCAAATAGTTAATGGTGATTAAACTTAAAAGCAATTAGATTGTTGGTTTCAAGGGTTTTTTTTTTAATCATTATTTGCGTTTATTTTTTTCTGTTAGATAAAAATGAAAAGAGGTCAGAGATGCAATTTTGCAGTTTGGTGGGGTATTTTTCTTTGTTTTGTTCTTTTGTTGTTGTTGTTTTTAATATTATTGTATTATTTGAATGAATTGTTATGATTTACCAGGCGCTGCATTTGGAGCAATGAATGGTCTTCGGCTAGGACTGAAGGAAACCCAGAACATGGCCTGGTCCAAACCAAGAAATGTACAGTAAGTCTCATGTAACCATTTGAGGTAGTGATGTTTAAATATTAACCTCTGCCTTGTTGGTTGCATGAGTACAACCTTGAAATTACAAATGTGCAGTATTTATATGCTTTTTTGTTTTTTTAATTTTACTCTAAGTAAAAGGATCGAAGGAGTCAGATTACTGACTCTAAGCTTTTAAAAGGAGTGACTTGAATCAATGTCCCTCAGTGAACTAGTGCTACCCAAACCTAACTTCTCAGTTATGCTTGTTTCATTCTTCAAGCCTATATAACATGCTTTCCAAATTGTTGAATTGCTAATAGAAATGTCAGATTGTTCAAGAGCATGCAGAACCATAGGGCATGGTAATAAAGACATCAGCAGCATGTAAGAGTGATGGCAAGAACTGCTGTCACTTACTTGAACTTTTTACTGACTTCACTCCATTTCTGAAATGGAGAGCTGCAGAACTTTTAAATAATAATTTTAGAATTCAGAGTTAGTTCCAAAGAATAAGACAGTCTTCTCTCAGGGACTTGAAGCTGGCAGAGAAGGGAAACTACAATTTAAAAAATTGGAAAGTGTAATAAATGTATGTTTTCACCCTGATTATGAAATAAACATGACTGATATCTTTTGATATTCTCTACACACTACCTTCAGTTTTGCACACGTTTATGTTTCGTGTAAGTAGAATTATGAGAATGTATTCTTCAATGACTCACAATTTTGTTTTAGAACATTTTATATTCCATCTTCTTTACATATTGTTCAGCCAGCAGATGGCAGCAGGTGTGCCAGAATTAAACCATGGGAAACTGGAAGGCCTGTTAAGTTTTTTTATATTCCTATTACTATGTGACTCTTTGTTCTTGCTTTACCAGCCTAAATCCTTCAGTATTTTTATTATTTGTCCCTTGCCTCAATAATTTTTTTTTTAACTTTTTATATTATGGGAAATTTTGAATATATGCAGAAGTAGACAAACTATGTGGTATAATGAATACCTGTGGACCATAACCCTTCTTCAGCAACCATAAGCTATGGCCGGTTATGTTTCATCTCTTCCTCTCCCATCTTGAGACAAATCCTCAACACCATATTAAATATGAATTTGGAAGTAGATCTCCTAGAATAGACAACCTGCTTCATTTCTTAAAATAATAATAGTTATTAAAAGCTTATTACAAATGAAAAAACAATACTGAACTTAAAATGTTGGTAAATATATAACTAAAAACAGTATACTTCTCTTTGTAAACATTACTGATGTTTTTAAGCAACCTTTTAGAAATAAATTTTTGTTACTATACAGCATTAATTAAATGAGTTCTTTAGTTAATTAAACTCAATGAGTTTCTTTACTCTTTGTTATTGTACTTCTGTAATTTCCAGCAGTAGTCAGCTGTCCGGACAAAACTATTCCTGTGATGGTGTTACACTGCTGGAAGAGAAATGTCTTGTCTTCTTCGTCCAGTTACCTCCGTCACTGTTCTGGTGGCGTCTGGCACTGGTACAAGGCAGAACTGTGCTTCCTTGAGAGAGTGCTGAGCATTCACTTTGGCTGCTTAGTTCTAGTCTGGGAGCAGACACAGAGTGCTTTCTTCGTGTGCTATAGTTAGGTGGCTGACTCCTTCTCTTTAATTCTACTTTATATTCTGTACTTTGATATTCTTTCCTTTGATTCTCTTTAATATTTTAAGTATATATTCCCCTCCCTAAAAAGAACCTTTTAGAAGCCAATTTGTCATAGTTACAGTGGCATTTTTTACAAGGTCAGTTTCTGTTAACCTCTTTATAGAATACATTCCAGGCTGTCATCCAAAGCCTTATACATATAATATGTATTTAATAATTTTCTGCATTTAGCAGTGAGAACTTTCCTTAGTTTTTGCCCAAAATCTTGAAAATATTAACCTTTCATTTATAAACCTTAGGGCTTGGGTCTAGGCATTTTAAGTAGCTACTATTATTGTTTTTTAAGATCACTAGAGAAATAATGATAGTAAATTCAAATTCTTTCTCTTTCTACCCCTGGTAGGATTCTGAATCTGGTGACTAGGCAAGGGGCACTTTGGGCAAATACTCTAGGTTCTCTGGGTAAGTAGAGATCTTGTTTGATAATAAATTGTTAACATGAAGAAAGAATGTACAAGCATCATGAACAATTTGATTGACCAAAATTCTGGTCCTGGGATATGAAACAATTAGGTTTGAATCCATTCTGGTGAGTAATGTAGATACCACTTAGGGAAAGACCATGAGCAACATGACAAAATAACCCCGGGTAGTAATTTCATTCTGAATACTATTTCTGAATGTTTTAAATCTTGTTAAACACTGCGTGCTCTCCTATCCAAGCACAGTACTAGATAAAAACACTAAATGAAGTCCAGATAATTTAGGTCCAAAGCAAAAAGCTTTGTATAATAGGCAAAGTTCAATGTTCTATAGTGAGACGTGATGGATTAATCGACTCTAGTCCTCTTGCTGTGTTAATAGCCTGTTCAGAAGTCTGTTTACCTATCAGATTTTGAGGACCTAATGGGCAGAGTCGGAATAGAATAGGTCCTTTGTAGATAATGAAAACATTTGCAGTTCTAGGCAAGGGGTAATTTAGTAGTGCTTAGTCTGAATCAAGTGCTTTCATAACCATACTGTTTATGAGTAAGTGGCTTTTTTGATTACTGATGACTTATTATAGATCTCCTATGGTACTTATGCCCTAATAGCCAAGGTTTTCATAATTTATGAACTTAGTTGAAAGTCTGAAAAATCTCAGTTTAAATTGTCTCAGATTAAGTAAGGAAAAATGTAGACAGCTCATTGAAAAGATAGGTAAAGCCTCTGTTGTGATAGGGTTTGATCCCAGCCTTGTCATGGTACTTGGAAGCAGTACATTTTCACCCCATAAAGTCAGATTCACAGTTTGGATCCTGACAGATGACTACTTCCATGTGTTGTTTGTTCCTGCATTCTTCCCTTCCTTCTATATAGTCATCCTCCTCTGTTCCTTTTTAATTGCTTGTGTACCTAGAACAATCAGCTGTCTTATCTGCTTGGGACTTTCTTGGAAAGTCCCACTTCCAAGAAACCCCTCAGTCCTGGACAGGCTGATCAGATGACTGATCATCTTGTCTGTTCCCATTGTCATATGATGATGCATCACAGTGTTCTGCTCATGATCAGTTTTAGTTAAATAAATTGAACAGGAAGATGAGCTTTCATAGAACTATAAATATATCACAACAGAGGAGATGTAAGGCTGAGCTTGGTGTATTGCTGGTACCAGGATCGAATGTAGCTATAATGTAGCTATGGGAAAGAGTAAGATAAGAATCTTTGAAGGCATAGAAGAAGGGTAGGAAGATCTTCTAAAACTAATGGTGCTAGTGTTACAGTTTTACATGTATTGAGATTCAAACCTCACATTTTTAAAAATCGTATATTTTTCTCTTACAAGAAATACGTGTGTGTGTGTTTAACGCAAAGTAAATCTATTATGTATATATACAAGTGAAAATGTAAAATATTCTTCCTGGAACTCCCCAGCGGTGCTTTCTGGAAATAACCATCTACTGTTGACCTTTCTTCTGGATTCCAAACATTTCTTTGCATAGCCTGTCAATCATGTATTCATGTGGCACATTTCCTGCTTTACATTTTAATGAACATAATTCTTCCTGGTTTTTGTTTTAAGTGACTATAATATTCTGTTATATTGAAAGCACCTTTTTGGATCAGTACAGATGACACAAATGCTCTTGATGGGCATTTTATTCGTTGCCAGGTTTTTGCTATTTGAAACAGTGTTGTACTGAATCCATGTATATTTTTGGATGTTTATTTAAATATAATGCCATACTGACTTGTTCTGTTGAAAAAATAATTTTTCTTCTGCTCTCATACTACTACAACAGTCAACACAAGATGTTTCTGTAGCCATGTGTGGGAGTATTTCCCCACATACCAAGTAATCAGTTTTACCGTGGGTACCAGCTGGTTGTCCTCCCACTTCAGTTTTGACAATCTGCCTGGATATAGCGTCAGAGCACACAGGTTGCAGACTCAGTCCCACAAAACTGAGACCCATTTCCGATGCTGTTCACAAACCCCAGGTTATTCTGCCTGTGCTGCTGAGCAACCACATATAAACAAGCTTCCCACAACTCCTCAAGTTCGATTTCTAGATCAGCTCACAGAACTCAGGGAAACATACTTATGTTCTCCAATTTATTATAAGGGATTTAAAAAAATTTTTTTTTTTGAGTCGGTCTTACTCTGTCACCCAGGCTGGAGTGCAGTGGCATAATCACAACTCACGTCAGCCTCAAACTCCTGGGCTAGAGTGATCTTCCAGCGTCAGCCTTCCATATAGCTGGGATTACAAGTATCAACCACTGTGCCCAGCCTAAGGGATATTTTTAAAGGATACAAATAAACAGCCTGATGAAGGAATACAGAAATACATAGGCCAAGGACTGGATGGATCCTAAGCATGGGAACTTTCATTTCCCTGGAGTTGGGGGTGCACCACCCTCTTAGCATGTGGATGTATTTTTATTCACACTATCCTCTTTTATGTAGAGACTTGATTGGATAGGCATGATTGAAGCATGGACAACCCTATAGAAATCTGATGGAACAGAAAGGGTATGATCTAATACTAATAGATGAAGTGGAGAAAACCCAGCAAGGCCTTTCTGTCTAGATTCTTCTTGGCCTTTCTGAATAGCATTTCTTCCTCATGGGGATGGAGACAGGACTCCTTCTGAAATGGGTGTACTGTGGACTATGGTCAGATGAGGTAGGTCAGAATTTATTTACAGCCAGCTCCAATACAGAAAGATGGGGAAAGATTCATGTCCTGCTTTGGAGAGAAATAAGGAGCAGGTGAAAGGAGGGCAGGGAGAGTTAGAACTTTTGTTCCTAAAGCCTGATTCTGAGGTGTGAAGTACTCCAACATTATAACAGAAGACTTTTACCATTATTGCTCTTAAGCTGTTCCAAAGCTGCTTCAGGAACCAAAGACAAAAGGACAGATAGTTAAAAAATGGTATGCTTAGGGCCGGGTGCGGTGGCTCAAGCCTGTAATCCCAGCACTTTGGGAGGCCGAGGCAAGAGAATTGCCTGGCAACAAGACCAGCCTGGGCAACTTGGTGAGACCTTATCTGTACAATACATCAAAAAATAAACTGGCCATGGTAGTACACGCCTGTAGTTCCAGCTATTTGGAAGGCTGAGGCAGAAGGATTACCTGAGCCCATCAGTTCGAGGCTGCAGTGGCTGTGATCATGCCACTGCACTCTAGTCTGGGCAACAGTGTGAGACCCTGACTAAAAAAAATTTTTTTTTTAATGGTAAACTTATTTTAGCCACTTAGGAAATAGCAAGGTCTATAAGAGTTACAAACCAGGAACTATGGATAAAAACTAAGATTTGTATATCATAATGCCACACTTAATCAGTGTTTTTTGTCACTGAGCACTTCCATTTCCCCTTTAGCTCTGCTCTATAGTGCATTTGGTGTTATCATTGAGAAAGCAAGAGGTGCAGAAGATGACCTCAACACAGTAGCAGCTGGAACCATGACGGGCATGTTGTACAAATGTACAGGTAATTACTATTGAATGGAGAGCAATCTCTTAATAAACTTGAGATATGCTTTTTTAAATTATGATTTCATGGAAACTCTACTTGTTTTTGCAATATTATCTAGTATTTTAACTTTGTTGTTATTTTGCTTTTAGTTTTTTAGTTGTAAAGTACAAACAAGATATAACCATCATAACCATTTTTAAGTGTGCAGTTCAGTAGTGTTAACTATATTCACATTGTGTAACCAGTCTCTGGAACTTTTGGATCTTGCAAGACTGATATTCTGTATACCCATTAAGCATCTCATCGTTTTTCCCTGCCCCTAGCTCCTGGCATTGTCATACTTTCTGTGGAATCATACGGTGTTTTTCTTTATGACTGACTCGTTTTACTTAGCATAATGTCCCAAGGTTTATCCTTATTGTATCATGTGACAGGATTTCCTTTTTAAAGCTAAATAATATTCCACTGTATGTATGTATATCTCATTTTGCTTATCCATCCTTCTGGGATAAGGGTTGCATGGGCTATTGTGAATAATGCTACTGTATATGTGGGTGTGCAAATATTTCTTCAAGATCTTTCTTTTTTTGTGGGTTTTTTTTGGGGGGGGGGTTGTTTTTTTCTTGATACAAGGTCTCGCTTTGTTGCCCAGACTGGAGTGCAGTGGTGTGATCACAGCTATGGCTCACTGCAGCCTTGACTTCTGGGTTTAGGCATTCCTTCCATCTCAGCCTCCTGAGTGTGCCACCACACCTGGCTAAATTTTTTTTTTTGGTGGAGATGAGTTCTCGCTATGTTGCCTAGGCTGATCTCAAACTCCTGAGCTTAAGCACTGTTCACATCTCGACCTCCCAAAGTGCTGATATTACAGGTGTGAGCCACCATGCTGGCCAAATCTTTCTTTCAATTATTCTGGATATATGCCCAGAAATGAGTTTATGGGATCACCTGGTTTGTAGTGGCTTTTTGTTTTGTTTTGATTTTTTTCATTAAAAAAGATACTATTCTGTACTTTTCGCTCATTTTCTTTATCTTGGACAAGCTAAGCAATATAATATTCACAATTGCTGGCTTTGTTTTAAACAATAATCTGTCCTGTGAAATCAGCATGTTTAACTTATCACAAGACACATGCAAGGCCAAAGCACAAGAATGACTTCCCTGTAAGTCAGTTTAGAGCATGTTATTCCTGTGATAATCTTACTCTATTTGAGAGTAAGTACATTGTGTTGTTATCAAAGACTGGATAAATTCTCTTATGAAATAAGTTTTTACTAGCTTAGAAACAAACATCCAAATAGTGACCAATTGAATTGTTTTATTATGTTGGTACAGCTCTGGTTATTTTTCCTAATTTTTATTTTATCCAAATAATCTATGTACGTAGCTTGTAAAGTCAAGCTTATTATCTTTTTTTAAATCTGAAAGATTTGAGTGATGCACAACAGTGTGCTGTACTCACCATCCTCACCCTAATTCCGTTCCCAAAGGCAACAACTTTAATTCTTTGTTCTTTATCTTCATGTTTCTAAATAACATAATTAACTTACATTTCCTTGATATTTCAGTCTTCCTTGATATTTCTGTTAGGAAAACTGTGATAAGTCCTGTAAGAATTGTACAAAATGTGCTTATAGGAGAAAGGAAGTCACGTGATACAGGTCATCTCATTTACCAGTCCCTGAAGGGAGTAGACTGGTACTCCATTGTTTTGGGGGGGGAGGGGGATAGTTTTTTCTGGGAGGGAGAGATTTAAAAAAATTTTTTTTTTTTTTTTTTTTTTTTTTGAGTTGGAGTCTCACTCTGTCGCCCAGACTGGAGTGCAGTGGCCACTCCCGGCCACCGCAGCCTCCACCTGCTGGGCTCCGGCGATCCTTCCGCCTCAGCCTTCCGAGTAGCCAGAATTACAGGCATGTGCTACCATGCCCAGCTGAGTTTTTGATTTATTGTAGAGATGAGGTATCGCTGCCCAGGCGGGTCTTGAACCCACGGGCTCAGGCAGTCCACTCACCTCAGCCTCCCAAAGGCGCGGGTTTACAGGCTGAGCCACCGAGCCTGGCTTGATTTAAAAATTTTTTAATGACTGAAACAAAAAAAAAAATTCTAAAACCGCAGCTTCTGGAACAACCTCTTGTTTTTGCCCATCTTGTACCTCTCTTCAAACTTGACCTTGGCTTCCCGTCAGGCCTTGCTTTTAAGAGCAGGGTCTCCGAAGACATCCTTGTTGACAGCGGTTTTGTCCAAGGAGATATCCAGAGTACCTTGTAGGCATGAGGTGATTGTAGTTATAAACTTTCCCAAAATATTTGATCTTTGCTTTGACCTCTTGGCAGTCTTCTTCTTACCCATCACAGCTGACACTTTGTGGAGATAGTGGCCAAGTCCAGCCACAGGGTCATGGCTCTGGGGGCAGTCTGAGGTGCCATCAATGTTCTTCACGATTATGCTTTGCATCTGGAATAACGTCCGGCCAGGACCAGTACCACCTTCCCGGGCTCCATTTCAATGGCAACCACCCAAGCCTCTCTATTGTTTTATAGACAGACAAATTCAAGACAAGTTGAGCTAATTCCACTTGGTAACACAGCTGTTTCATAGCCTAGGGCTAATCAAACCCTAGATTGACTCGAAGCCCTTTGTCTTTTTCACCCTTGTTTTTACCACGTTGCTCCAACAGAGAGATCAGGGAAATTTCTAGAAAAGGGAAATGGGTAGTAACAATTGAGCCACATCGTAAGTATGGATTGAGTTTCAAATGTATCTGTTTGGTCATATGATATATGTAAGGGAGGTGTGAGAAAAAAAGTCTGGAAAGATATTTCAGGCTTAGAACATGGAAGTTAGGTTGGAGGTTTAAATTAGGTTGAAAGGCAGCTTGTCATCATCGAAGGTTTTTGGGTGGGGGTATTAGAATCTTCCTTGAGGAAGATTAAGCTAGAAATAGTGGATAGATTAGGTAGATCAGAGGTAGCCTAAAGTCAAAGTGGTAAGGAAAAATATTACAGAAGTTCAGGGTTTGGGATAGTGTTTCAACTCTGATGATAGGTGGTGGGCTTCACAACAGGTGAATTGAGGAGATGGTGAGGGAAAGGCAGAAATCAAAGGAATTGAGTCACTTGAAGGCTGTTTTCTGCTTCACTTTTTTCCTTCTTTGTTTTATGTTGTGGAAGCAATATATAGCAGTAATGTGACTTTGAATAGCATAGCAGCCAGCTGTCCTGGGCTTCCACACCACTGCCCCAGCCATCCGTTACTTACAGTCTCTTCCAGACAAGACAAAACTCACTAAAAGGTCTCTGTTGTTTTTAGAGTTGGAATCTTGTTCTGTTGCCCAGGACAAAGTACAGTGGTACAATCATGGCTCACTGCAGCATTGAACTCCTGGGCTCAAGCAAACCTTCTGTCTCAGATTTTTAAAAAATTTTTGAAGAGACTGGCTCTCACTAGGCTGTTCAGGCTGGTCTTGAACTCCTGTCCTTAAGCAAACCTTCCACCTTCACCGCCCAAAGTGCTAGAATTACAGGCATGGGCCACTGTACTTGGCTCTCAGTTGCTTTTAATTTCTAGTAGGACTGTGTCCTCTTAGGACTGTTTTTTTTTTTTTTTTGCCAATGATTCTTAGTTGTTTGGGTGACTGCTTTTCTGTGGGTGGTGGGGATTGCCCTAGTTCTCTGAGGATTTTGTGAAAGTTTTAAAGGATTTATAAACCCTGAGCTAACATCTCCTGGTATAGATTCTACTCAGGAGAAGGATGAAAATTAACTCTTTGGAAGTTTTTATAAACACTTGGAGGCTTATGATTAAATTAAAGTGATGATATTTAGAAGGTGACAGTCTAGGTAAGCCAGATTCATGACAGTGGTCTGTTAAACTGTCTTCTCTATGATTTGCTCCCTTGCCATTTTGATGACTTCAGATTCTACTACTCTTCCCATTGCCTTTTTTTTTTTTTTGAGTTGGAGTCTCACTCTGTCGCCCAGACTGGAGTACAGTGGCCGCCCCCGGCCACTGCACCTTCGACCTGCTGGGCTCCGGCGATCCTTCCGCTCAGCCTTCCAAGTAGCTGGAACTACAGGCGCGCACTACCACGCCCGGCTCATTTTTTATTTTATTGTAGAGATGAGGTCTCGCCAAGTTGCCCAGGCGGGTCTCGAACCCACGGGCTCAGGCAATCCACTCACCTCAGCCTCCCGAAGCACGGGATTACAGGTTTCCCATTGCCTTTTAACTCCTACTTCAGGGCCTCAGTTCTTGCTGTAATGGTTTCCTAGAATGATCCTTCCAAATACTACCTCACATGCTGCATCATCTTGTCCATCATTGTTCAGATACCACCTTTTCCTTTAGGCGTCTCTTAAACACCATAGTACATACAGTTTTACACATATGCTTTAGTTACAGGATAAATAGCTGAAAGTTAGATTACTTGAGCAAAGGATCTACATTTTTAAAATGTGAATTAATAATGCCAAATTGGCCTTCCAAGTACTTGCTTACCTTTGTGCGTATTGTCATCTCTTATCACTTTTTAAAAGCCATTTGCTAAAAAAAAATAAATGTTTTACTTTGCTTTTCCCTAGTTGCTTATGAGATTAACTCTTAATTGTTTAGTGATTTTTTTTGGTATTTTTTCCCTAATTGCTTTATTATATACCCTTTCTCCATTTTTTATTGGATTATTGGTTTAACTGATTTGTTGAAACATACATTACAGCAGTTAGCCCTTTGCCTATTAATATATTTTACATGAATTTTTATTTACTAGAAAAGTGTTGATGCCAGTAATAGAAATAAAGAAGTCAAAACGTAATTCTGAAGACCTGGCATTCAGTTTCTACATTGATAAATAGAAGCTTTTGACAGCAACTCTGATACTGATTGCCTCATTTCAAGATTGGATTTCTATATCCTTTTACTTTGCTTTTATAAGCTAGCTTTCTTTTAGAAGACATCGTGTTTTAGGGAGAGAGGAATCACCCATATCTTTTGGTTTCTGAGGACTTGTTTCCTGAAAA